TGAACATAACCAATAACCTACCATAGCCAATAACAAATAAATTTAGCTTATTTTATTTTTGTTGTTCATTCATATCTTACTTTCATCTTACATTTATTTATTTATTTATTTATGCATATTTTTGTATCTCCAACTTTAAACGATATTTTTGGTTAACTGTCCTATAGTATACATTGGAATGATTTCAAACCTGTTTTTATTTATCCTAATAATTATAAATTATGTGTTTACATAATTTGTGGTCAAAACGTTTGAGACCCACTGAGATAACTTAGACTAAAATTAACTATCTAAATACTCAGAGAGTCCTTTACCTCACTGAGCCTCTCAGTCTGACAGGAGAGCTCTCCTCCACCCTGGTTGTAGAAACATCTACTTCTTATATCCGTTAGCGCAGCTAGCACCAGATTCTAATAACAACAGCGCCGGTACCGGTGCGCCCTCTCCCTTGCTCGCTCTCTCGCTACCACGCTCGCACTTTGGCTGTGAGCTGCGGGCGCCTGATAAGCCAACATCCCCCACTTTCATCACTTACAGCGCCCACCGTACAGGGCAAATTAAACGTGTAATCGGGGTGAAAAGGATGTTACATTTACTTAATTATGAATGTTGTTACACCTAGGCCGAACATTTGGATGAGCGCCAACGGTCAAAAATGTTTTTTCCCTCCCAGAGCAGCGCCCCCCAGATCTGGCGCCCTCGGCGACCGCCTGTGTATTATGCCAGAAATTGGCCCTGCCTAGTACATACAGTGGCAATGTCTCAAGATTTAGCAAAAATACACCTTACACCATACAGTAACACAAATACTACAAATCCACATAACAAACAATCAAAAATGAAAAAGGGTCGCCACTTATTATTATTTTAAGAAAAAAAGAAAAAAGTAAAAAATAAATAAATTATTATTTTTATTATTTTTGGTACCTTGCTGGCGCCCCCTAGCAGCGGCGCTCATATTTCAGCAGCGGCGCTGCGCCGCCACTATTTGTATATAGGGGAAACACTGCATACATTCTATGTATGAATATAAATGTAATTTTGAGTGAAATCGAGGCAGAAATGGTCACATTGTAATGCTGCAGCTCTTGTATGTAATTATATTATTTTTCATACTTAAAATAATCCAAGCCAACTCTGAGGCCTGATTCCAAATCAAGTTAACATCTGTATGACAAAACTAAATTAAGTTATTTTGTTATTACTAAATGTTTTACAGAACTATTTGAAGACAGCTTGTGTCATTACAATCACAAACAGCTTTGCACATGTTCAGGCAGGGCAGTTGGTAAAGTCAGGACCAGTGCAGACTTCCGATTGTACGGTTTAATACCACACTTCCACTCCCCACTAGCTGGTTTATCACGGCACTAAATGCGGCGGACCGTTGACGCAAACGCAAATTGAGTGGAAATGTTCAGGGAGAGGGGACGGATTGGAATTGGTCCCGAATGTGAGCTGCAGGAATGATGACATGTGGTGTTGCTCTTTATGGCCTCGCCTGCTGTTTAAATGGAGCACCATGCTGCTTTCTGTCATGTTCTGTCTCTATTTAGCTCTACGCTGAGGAAGCAGGCCCTTTTTGATTATAGGAATGATACATAAAAGTACAAAATAATACATAAAAAAAAAAAAAAAGGAAGATGACTTTGCCTGAAATGACTTTAAAGCACCTTAGTGTTATTTTAATTTATTATTGCCATTATTGCTAATGTTTCCTTCTTATTTCCTCCCCAAGCCCCACGTTGTATGTGGGGAGCAGCTCGTTCACAGCGCCTACATGCAGTGCCTGGCCTCCCTGGCTGTGGGTCTCCACCTGGACCTGCTCCTGTGTCGCCCCCCTGTGCCTCCTAGCTTCCGCCACTGCCCCCCAGAGTCCGGCACTGCAGTCTGGTCTGCCAGCGAGTGGGCCTGGTTAGAATGCTTCTCTACAACCGTCAAGGCGGCAGAGGCCCTCGCTCGAGGAGCCACCTTCTCTGAGTCCTTCTCTGTTCCCGACATGGAGCCTGTGCCCAAAGATGAGATGACTCTGCTTATGGTGAGGGAGGGGGCTGCTGATTTTCCGAATGTAATTAACACCTACTGGTGCGTGTAATAACTGTGTTTGCACTCTGTTTTTCCAGGACAACAGTAAATGGGCGCATGGGGTGGATGAACAGATCATGTCCTGGGCCACCTCAAGACCAGAGGTAATTCAGACTGAGACCCAGATTAGCTGTAATTAGTGGTTTGTCTGGTCTGTTCTCCTCAGACTCAGCTGGTTATAACTGCTATGTTTCATACGTGTGTTTGCAGGACTGGCACCTTGGGGGGAAGTGCGATGTGTATCTGTGGGGCGCAGGGCGACACGGCCAGTTGGCAGAGGCCGGCAGAAACATCCTGGTGCCGACCAACGCTCCGTCCTTCTCTCAGGCACAACAGGTAAACATACTGTATGTCATGTCTTAATAAACCACACCAGCCTGTTGCTTGTCATCACATCCAGTTACATCACAGTAAAGGATGTATAATCTATGTAGAAGATTATTTGTGCAAAATGAAAACCCTTGGGTCAAAAGTGTGATTTTGTATATTGTGCTTTATAAATAAGAGTGTTGGTTTACTATACAATTTGGCACTATTAGTTGCATATTTTTGCCTCAAAGGAATACTTCACCCACAAAAAGGTAATCTGAATATCTATTACTCACCGGGTTTCACCTTGACTTTGTTTTTCTTGCATGCACCCAGGGTCAAATATGAAACAAAAAAATAGAAAATGATAGATCATTTTAAGTACACTAACAAAAACTGTACTATGAATGTATCAAAACATCTGTTTACAAACTTTAGCATAACCCAAGACTCTTTAATCCACGCAAATGATCACTATTCCACAAACCTTAATATTTGAAAGAGTTAATGTGTCCAAAGTGTTTTAAACTCGAGGCTAATAAAGGTAAGGTAAGTGAGGAATCATTCGTTAATAAACGGTTATTTTGACTATGAAGTATTATTTTAACGCTTAGATGCACGAGTGACTGGACCCTACACTCTTCCATAAGTGGGTCTAAAAGGACCCGTATTAGAATAATATGTGTTTTTATGCCATTTTTGTCATTTTTGAAAATATTTTATGTTTAATTTTTCACAATTTATAATTTTAGACTTTTTTTTTAACATTTTGAATAAAAACATTTTGAACATATTGTCCCAAAGATCTCCACTATTCTGAGACCCTCACAGTATTCCAGTCCCTTTTTAAAACGTATCTCTTCTTCTCTCTCTACTCATAGCCCCCCATCAATCCATGCCGGTTGATCAAGCTTGATAGTCCTATACCCCCCACCCTAACCTGCGATTTTGAGTCCTTGAAAAGCCCTATACAAATATAATGTATTATTATTATTTAGTGGGAATGCTGTTAACAGCATTCCAACTACTTGTTCTTCTACGCCGAAAAAGTTTAATATTATTATTCCGCCGACTTATTTTGCGGCGCTTCTTCTCCCGCATTGAACATTGCAGAAACTCTGTTCAAACATCAAAACGTTCAGCTCGGTAGGGAATCGATGGCTATTAGTTTTCTCATTCATAACTTTCATAATTCCAGAGATACATCCCATAATACATCACATTTTTAACCATTGAAGTCAATGGAGAAATTCTTCAGACTTCAACAAATCTTCATGCGACTTCATCTGCTAACTGTTCATTCATACTTTCACTCAGAAACCTCAAACTTTAATATGTTACACATCTTTCTGACATTATTCGAGTAAAACAACTTTTAAATCTGATTCTTACTTTTAGACATATTAAACATTGTTCAGACCTTGTTTTTGAGGTTTTCTTCACATTTTAACATTAGCTAGAGTGTGTGATGTCACAGAGGGTAGAACATCTTGAAATGTGCCTTCATATATATTTTTTAAACTGCCATAATTCCCAAACCCTACATTCCTGAGACATAATTTTTCATGACAAACGTAGGACAACATCTTGTAGCTTGAAAAATGACAAATAATTAAGCAAAAAACAATTAAACAAAATGCTTTTTGAGGGCATGAAGTGACAAAAACGTTCAACATTCCTCCATTAAACCCCATTGTAATTTCAGGCTGATATTTCCTCACAGCAGCAGCCACACACCTTTAGTTAAACTGCCAAAAATGCCACATTATTAACCCGAAAGTGCACAAAAATTACACTCCAGATACTCAACTTCCTTGACATGCTTCACGTTTTCAAATTTCACAGATATCTGTTACGGTTCTTCCACAAAATGTTCACATGTAAGAGGTTTATCTCTCATTCAGAACAATGGAAACCTTTGATGTCTGGACACCTCGTTAGCTCAAATATGAACACCTGTGTAATGGAACACGATGATGTCATCACTCCAACTGACATGCTCAGAGCAGCAGACTTCAGATAAAGGTTAATGGTCCTGCCCTCAACAGCTCTACGTCAATTATCGGGTGTCATCATCATATGACGAAGGTCGAGAGAAGAGAGAGAGTAATGTAATAAAACACGGTTTTCTCATAACTTAAGTGAAAATACTCCAAACAGCCCAAAACTTCACAGGTTTGGTAACGATGCAGCCATCAACGCATCTAAGCGTATTATGGGGTGTCATCAAATGCAGTTGCCATGGCGACAGACCACTCGCCATGAAACAGGATGTCACTGTAAGTCCAATAGACACGGTCCAATCGTCCCCCAATCTTCACTTGTATATCACCGGTCCATGCCTCAACAGCTCTACGCAAAATATGAGATCTCACCATATGCCGTTTCCATGGAAACGCATCCCTCGCCATAAAAAATGATGCCGCTATAACTCCTATGAAAATGTTCAAAAAGTGCTCAAACTTCACATGTGTGCTAACAGTCCAGCCGTGAAGACATCTACGGGACAGTTTTGAGATTTCTTCAAATGCCGTTGCCATAGCAACACAATGCTCGCCTTGAAACACGGTATTCTCATAACTTCAGTGAAAATACTCCAAACGGACCAAAACTTCACAGGTTTGGTAACGATGCAAAAATACCCACTTATGCATCTAAGGGGTAAACAAGTAAAGTAGTATCATCAAATAAAGCCCATTATGCATATAGGATCTCGTTGTTTAGGACTAGAGAGAAAAAGTTGAGCAAAGTACTATCACTGTTTTATTTCATGTATCTGTTTCCTCTTCAAATCTTTGCTTCTTCAGGTGGTGTGTGGTCAGAACTGCACCTTTGTGATCCAGCCTAATGGGACGGTGCTGGCCTGTGGGGAGGGCAGCTACGGCCGCCTGGGGCAGGGCAACTCTGACGACCTGCATGTCCTCACCGTCATCTCAGCTCTACAAGGTGAAGCGGAAATACCTCTTGTTTCTTATCACGCATGCTGTTAGATGCATATCAATGAAAATGCTGATTCATAATCGTTTGTGTGTTTGAAAATAAGATGTGCTCACGTGTCCTCTTGGGATTTGATAACATATCATCAAATCTAAATCCTTTTGAATCACTAATTGAATCTAATAATAACAAAATGTATAAACGACTAAGGCTCAAAACATATATAATAAGATTTGATTTGAGAAAGTTTTGAATTGAATTAATTTTCACTACCTTTAACCTGAAAGTGTTGATTCAAAATGGACCTGACACATCACTGGCTTACTTGAAACATACTCATTGCACTGATAAGAGGGGAGAATCCAATGAGGGATACCTAGATTGATTGAATGCTTTAGGAAAACCTACTAATGTGTTAATAGTTAGTAGTTAGTAGTTTTGTAGCTACCTCCGTCCTGACTGGTCATCTCTTTGCCCCTCAGGTTTCGTTGTGACTCAGCTGGTGACGTCCTGTGGCAGTGACGGTCACTCCATGGCTCTGACTGAGAGCGGGGAGGTGTTCAGCTGGGGGGACGGGGACTACGGTAAACTAGGCCACGGGAACAGCGACCGCCAGCGCAGACCGAGACAGATCGAAGCTCTGCAAGGAGAGGAGGTGGTGCAGGTCAGTTCTCAGGAACTCATCCTGTCAGTAAAAAGGGATTCTATTCTGTTCTGGGAACAGTACAGACTGCATTAAACTATGTCTCATGTACTTAAAGGTAATATATCACTTTGGCACTTGCAGTCACAATCTTCCTTTCTTTGCTCTCTTTGCCCTTTAGATGTCCTGTGGGTTCAAACATTCGGCAGTGGTGACAGCTGATGGAAAGCTTTTCACATTTGGTAATGGGGATTACGGCAGACTGGGTTTGGGGAACACCTCCAACAAGAAGCTCCCAGAGAAGGTCACCGCTCTGGAGGGCTACCATGTTGGACAGGTGGGAAAGAACATTGAGAAATGACCATGGAGAGATGATGAGATGTATTTAATTAAATAGATTTTACTATTTTCTACAAGATGCTGAGTTTTTAATGGTTAACAAATAAAATTGATTACATCTCAGCGTTAAATTGCCTTGTGTTCGCTCCTCAGGTGGCTTGCGGTTTGAACCACACTTTAGTCGTCTCTGCTGATGGAATGATGGTTTGGGCGTTTGGTGACGGAGACTACGGTAAACTGGGACTTGGCAATTCCACAGCCAAGTCCTCTCCTCAGGTAAGAGCTGTGATTCTGTGAGGCCTGCTGTTTCTAGTGAACACTCAACACTTGATGTTTCACCTCTGAGAATATGTTCTTTTTGACTGAATTAATGAATGCTTATTTTGAATTTGTGATTTCTCAGAAAGTGGACGTGTTGTGTGGAATCGGCATCAATAAAGTGGCCTGTGGAACACAGTTCTCAGTTGCTCTAACCAAAGATGGCAACGTTTACACGTTTGGCCAAGGTACGTTATGGTTTGATGCTTTTTTTCCCAACAAACTCAATTTAAATGATTAGATCTGAAGTGATTACCAAATGTTGAATTGTTTTGGATGTGATTATTTTAAGATTTTTGTCGGCATACAAAAATCTCTAAAATGAAAAAATACTACTACTATTCGAGTAGCTTTGGTTACTTTTTTCCTATTCATATACCCTAATTATAGAACATTTTTGCAGTCAACCGCAAGTGCAATATTTTCACAATTCATGTTAAGACCCTTTTCTTTTATTAACATGTTATTATTATTGTTATTTTGTTTTCCTCCCCTGATTGCAGACCGCCTCATTGGCTTACCAGAAGGCCGGGCCAGGAACCACAACCGGCCCCAGCAGGTGCCGGCCCTGGCAGGGATCCACATCCAGGATGTGGCCGTCGGTGCCGAACACACTCTGGTGCTCTCCTCAACCGGAGATGTTTACACCTGGGGCAGCAACTCGGAGGGACAGGTAAACTGCTGAAACACACACTGAAAATAGAAAATTGTCATGATGCAATTATTAACTTCACAGCCAGCGTCCCCTCTGGATTAAGGAGTTATTGGCATTCAGTTAGAAATTGAGCACCATATATATATATATATATATATATATATATATATATCACCACTTTTTTGTGCTTTTAAAGATATGTTTTAAATAGTTTTCTATAGTTCATAGTTGATACTAGATAATGATATCAAAACGTCTTCAGTCAATCAGTATTTTATTCTTTTTGAGAGACCTTTTAATCACATTTCACAGTTCTCATTCCCAGATGGAGTTGATTCACTTGAGTTTTCACACAATTTCTTTTGACAGTTGATATTTTGCTTCCAATTGTTAATTTAAGTAATTGTTTACATTTGTGTAGCTGGGCCTGGGCCACACCAACCACGTCAGAGAACCCACAATGGCCACAGCGGTGCAGGGCAAGAACGTCCACCAGATCTCTGCCGGACGCTGCCACAGCGCTGCCTGGACGGCTCCCTCTGTGCCTCCACGAGCACCAGGTTAGACACACACACACACACACACACACACACACACACACACACACACACACACACACACACACACACACACACACACACACACACACACACACACCCACCCACCCTAACATGCAACATACTGTCCCTGTAATGGCATCTATCTGGCAGACACTTTATCCTGGAGGTCAGTTTCCCTGCAATGCTGCTGGCACGTGAAGTAAATACCAAAGTGGGGCACAGCACAGTGTTGTCAGATGAGGCACCAACATAGTTTGATGGATGAGGAATTGAATGTATTGTAGTTAGAAAGTGTTGAGTCCTCATGTGCACACACCTAAATAGAACACCTAAAATTATATATATAATTCAACCACAACTAAAGGACTTACTATATTTAGAATAATGTGTCCAATGTGACTTGTGGTAGACCCTCATCAATATTTATTTCAATCTTTTTCCCCTTGACTTATTACCTTCCTGGTCTGGTCCTTCTCCTCCTCCCTCTTCCTCGTCCCTCGTCCCTCTTCCTCGTCCTTCCTCCTCCTCCTCCTCCTCCTCCGCCTCCTCCTCAGGCTCGTCGGTCCCTCTCCAGCTGGGTCTTCCCGTGGCGGTGCCTCCTCAGTACAGCGTGCTAAAAGAGATCAGCATTGAGGCGGTGAGGGCTCGCCTGAGGCTCCTCTACCACTTCTCCGACCTCATGTACTCCTCGTGGAGGCTGCTCAACCTCAGCCCCAACAACCAGGTGGGCAAACAACACAGAAAAGGAAAATGTCAATAATGATGAAGAGTCACCTGATGCAAAGATCTTGCTGTGCATATTAAAGGAATGATCTATCTTTGCAACTGAAAAGCCCTGACATTTAAGAAGATGTCTTTTCTTTTTGTTGAATGAATTTAGCATAATATTCTGAAAGATTTACTTTTCAATTACTCCCAAGATCACAGCCATCAGTGTGTGAGTGTGAGTGAGTGAATAAGCAGTTTGGCACCTTGTATGGAACCATGGTAATGTGTTTGTGAATGGGTTAATCTCTTGTAGTGTGGAAGGGCTTTAACCCTTTAACTGTCAGCGCCACCATTTGGTAGAGCACATTTTGTGTCTTGATATCTTGTTGAAAAAAAGAAAGAAAAAGTTTTACTCCAGCCAGCTCTACCCTTTGGTTGACATGTTATGCACAAAACAACCTCTAGATATCACTGTGGTTCGAACGGAAAGCCCTTCAGCTAGCTCCCATTGAGGAAGTTGGCAATGCTAAAAATCACTGCTGACGAAATCACTTTTTGGTAAATTTTTGTAAGATAGGTAACCATATCATTTTTGACATATTTTTGTGTCAGGGCACTGACTTAACATAATTAAATAACTTGATGCACAAAAAAAGTTTTAACAAGGGTGTAATTATTTTTTAGAAAATATGCTCAACCAATCGGTCAAATTGGCTTTTTATGGTAAACTAGCAATATGACTTTTTCAGAGTTTCAGAGATGTTTTCCAATAAAATATGGTAAATAAATGGCTAGATTCATGGTAATATTACTAAATCTAGTACTGCCTTATGAGTCTCAGAGTGAAAGAGTGATAATAATTTATATAGCACCTTTCATGCATGGCATTCAGCCCAAAGTTGCACACAGATGAGCAAGTTAGGCCAACACAGGATATAGACATTTGCTGTTTGGCCAGTGGTTTCCTGTTGGGCCAATTTAGCATCTACAGTAAGATGAGCAAGTCTTTTTTTTATTATGAAAAACACTTTACATTACTTTTTTCCATTTCTTTTTTTTTACAATTATAATTTATCTTTTATGAATATATCTGATTGTATATATTGCTCATTTTACATAAAAGAAACAAATGTATTTGAGTTTGTGTTTTATTTGAGTTTGATGCATACAAATACTGTACTGTATATGATGATTGTTGAAAATGCACTTTTACCATAAAAGGCCAGCTTGACCAGTTGGTAGAGGCTCATAAAAACAAAACTGTGTGGTCAGTCAAAAAAAAAAAAAATGGTTTGGTTATTTGTGGCCCATTTGATAAAAAAATAATTTTTCCATAGCTTTTTTCTTGGTCTGGCAGTTAAAGGGTTAAGTGGTTGGAGCACTAGAAGGGCGCTACCTGAGTCCATTACCAATCCATTTACTGTGTATCACAGTATGTAATGATGGTCAATGTAATTATTTCTCTGCAGAGCTGTACGTCCCACTACAACGCTGGTACCTGGGGGATCGTTCAGGGCCAGCTGAGGCCCCTGTTGGCCCCCAGAGTGTACACCCTGCCTATGGTGCGCTCCATTGGCAAGACCATGGTGCAGGGCAAGAACTACGGCCCCCAGATCACCGTTAAACGCATCTCCACGCGGTCAGTAATATGCTTAGTCTTCACTTATGGACTCAGAAGTACAGAGGTTCGCTCATTTGAAGGGGCAATTTATATCATGAAATATGCAACAAAAAAAAGTGTTGGTGGGTTTGCATTTTTGTGTAAACCTTGAGCTTATTTGTGAAAAGTGTTATCAAGTACTTTTGGGCTTTTATAGAAAAACATGTTTATACATGTAAATACAGTCAGGTGAGGCAAATACATTATTATATAAAGCAAATACTGCATAGAATTAGATAATAACAACAGATAAAAACACATTATAGAATATCTCCTTCGCATAATATTCCTGTTAACCTAAAAGCAGATGTAAAAAGATAAATGGAATATGAAATACCAATAAAAAAAGAACTGAAATATAGTAATACTCATTAAAAAAATCTTATGATATGTTACACAATGTGTTGAAATCTGACTTTTTTTCCCTTTTGTACTCCGACGCTCTGCAGAGGACGGAAGTGTAAACCTATCTTCGTGCAGATCGCCCGTCAGGTTGTGAAGCTGAACGCCTCGGACCTCCGCCTGCCCTCAAGGGCCTGGAAGGTCAAATTGGTGGGGGAGGGGGCCGACGACGCAGGAGGGGTCTTTGACGACACCATCACAGAGATGTGTCAGGTATTGTTTGTTAAATGTACTCTTGATCAGCCAGTGCCCTGTACTACGAAGCCAGTTCAACAGACCCTGGATATGTTTGAGTTATCTTAACTAACCCTAACAAATTAGATCTCGCTAAGCGGTCCTACGACGCTAGTTATCAACTCTGTAAATCAACCCAGGGTTTCTCTGTCCAGCTGAGAGCGCGTTCACATGAAAGGGGTGGGGTTAGCAACATTTGACCAATCACAAACAGGGAGAGGCGTACTGACAGCGTAGGGTCACACTTCATGAATGAAAAGTAAACTAACTATCACGTTAGACAAATATGAAGAAGTTAAACTTTAAACATCCATGACTTAAACCAGGATAAAAGCCACATAGTTTTACATGCAAGTTGAATACAGAACAGCTGGTAAAAAAAACTAAAAACTACAGAGTGTTTGAATGCGTACATTAACAGTTTATGATATCACTGCCCCGTCTAATACATGAGTGGATCTGACTTTAATTGCATTTGAGTGTTTCTTAAACTTAACGTGTTGCTTAAAATAATACTTCTGCATACAGCATGTGACAATGTAAGTGTTGCACGGCCAGATACGGCTTGAGAAGCTGACTCAGATAAGGAAATATGATATATTATACAGTATGATCGATGATGTGATATGAATGATAAGTGCGACACGTCGGCGTCTTCCCTGCATGCGGCAGCTTAAACTGTATTTCCTTTATCCTGTAATATGACTTGATAGCTTTAAACTCCGCACACTGAGCTCCGGAGCAGGTTAGATGTTCAGCATCAGTTACCATGGAGATCTACCCCGGTAAGAAGTGAACCTTCGTCGTAGGACCGGAAACTCCGAGTTAACCCTGAAGTTACCTCGCTAACTAATCCTGCTTCGTAGTACAGGCCACTGGTGTTGCTGGATGTGTTATGATACAGTGATGTTTATCTCCTTTTGTTCTGTTAATGTCTTTGTAGGAGTTGGAGTCGGGCGTGGTGGACCTGCTCATCCCCTCCCCCAACGCCACGGCAGAGGTTGGCTATAACAGAGACAGGTGAGGAGGGAGCATGTAGGCCTGGGTTCTAACACTTCTGAAGGGTATGGGTTGAATAATATGCCAACAAAGAGATAAGCAAGCAGAGGCATTGGTATATTACCAATCATTTCCCTGCAATACATTATTCTGTCTTTAAATTAAGTTAATTCATATAGTCTCACTGAAAATGTCACAATCCGTCAACTATTATATATAAAATCTATATATAAAAATGATATTGGATTAATAGGATGTTTCTTTTATTTTTTGAAGATATTGATCAGTATCAGGCATTCAGGCATCAGGCATTCTTTGCACTCTTTCTTTGTTACATTAGCAAGGTCAGTTTTGCTCTCTCATCACCTCCTTTTGCAAATATATGACGGAACTCTCTGAAACACAAGCGTAAAATAAAGTAGCTCCAAATGTAGCTCCATCCGCGTTTTAAGATAGATACTACTTCAATTAAGGTTTTCAAAGCAAACTTTAGAGAGCAAGAGAAAAATGTCTTTTGAGTTGAACATACTTGAATCGTCGTTGAAACCCCACATTGTCAAATATTTTCCTAAATGACTCTCTGTTCTTGGCCTGCAATGCTGTATGGTATTTGTATGCTCATGCTAAACAAACTTTAACACAGCTAAACAATTGTTATATTTATTTATTTCCCTAGGTTCCTCTTCAACCCTTCGTCCTGCATGGACGAGCACATGCTGCAGTTTAGGTTCCTGGGCATCCTGATGGGCGTGGCCATCCGCACCAAGAAGCCTCTGGACCTGCACCTGGCCACGCTGGTGTGGAAGCAGCTGTGCTGCATCCCCCTGCAGCTGGAGGACCTGGAGGAAGTGGACCTCCTCTATGTGCAGACGCTCAAAAGCATTCTTCACATTGAAGACAGCGGCATCACAGAGGAGAACTTCCATGAGGTGGGGGAGACATTGTATAAGTCATCATTTAATGCAGCCATAGAAAACACAGCTTCTTAACCGAGAAAGAAGATAATTAAATGCAATATCTGTAATATCCTTACAAATCTAATTTTGTATATAACAACTTAAGTGCCATGTGTTAGAAATGTGGTTAAAAGAAGATTTCCTGCTAAGGCAAATATCTCATCAGGACTGGATTCATGAGGGGTAATGAGATATATAAAATGTTATTGAATATAATAGTAATTCCAGTTACACACGACCACATCACACTGTGTTTACAGCTCATCTCCGCCTCCAACTGCACAATAAAACAAATGTAATGTCAGCATTTACACGCTGGTGACTGATGGCTCACAGGGGGACGGATGTTTTGACAGAGCAGGCATACCATGCATGTATAAAGAGAACTGGATGTAGCGTTGGAGGAGCCGCCCCGTTTATTCCTATTAAAGTTGCTCAGTGGTGCACGAAGCCCAAAACAGGTCGGCTCTGATTGTGATTGGTCAACCGATTAGAGATTTAGCTATGCCGATGATGTACAATGTGTTGAAGCGCTAACCAATAGAAACACAAGTGTTACATAATGATGTCATTATGTCGTTCACATGCACCTAAATAACACGCTACAGGAAAGGGAACACTCCCAAAAAGCAAAGCAAAATGACCTGATGAATTAGAACGGCAGTGTAGTACCACCGTTTGGCCAAACATTTGCTACAACCTTCCTGCGAGCTCGGAACATACCTCCTCTGCCACGTGAACCTTTGATTCATCCGAATATCACACGTGCTGCTAAAAAGAAGACTGTTTTTTATATCAATAGCCAGTTTCCACTATCCCACAATAAGCTTCAGAGGATGACACAAACCGCAGCCCTACCACACCCAGTGAGCTAACGGGAGCCAGCAGGGAACATGATGTGATTGTAGAGGAGGGTTAATCCTGTTTTCAGCTGCCAGAGTTTATCATTAAGTTAGCAAACATTGCCCCCAATCTGTGTTTACATTCAGACTGGCTGAGAAAGCAGTGACAGTAATGTGTGTCTGTAGCCACTTTGAAGCGCAGTGAGAGCTTGATGTTAGCCCTGCTGGGGGGTGCTGTGGTTAAGCTTTTTAAACTCTCCCAGCGCTGATAAAACCTCAGCGTGACTGTGGCCCTGACACACAGACCACACACCCCGCCCCTAAAGGCTCTCTGGAGCAGCAGAAAGCCCCTTTCCTGTCCAAATAACCTCACACAACCCCTGCACTGAAAAGCCCCCGGCCTGCAGGAATGCCAGGACCGCTGTTGATGCTGCACATCCTGCCTGCCGGGGACCTGGCCCCGCTCCCAGACTCCTGGAGGAGGAGGAGGTCTGGAACCATAACACTGGCTCCATCAGCCAGGAGGAGGGAGGGAGGGGATAGGGAGGCTGCATCTGCTGCTCTGGCATGAAAAGACAAGAGAGTGAGGGGATCAGTGTTGGCTCCTCTGGTTCCACGAGCTGCCAAATGTCTCAACGTGATTTCACATTCGCTCGTTGCTTTCCAGGATATTAAATAAACGCTCTGATTTCAGCTTTTGTAATAAATCGTCTGCAATGTTTTCCAGACAGAGGAAAGTTGACGTTTATTGCAAAACACTGTAAGGCTGCTGACTGAACAGTGCTGAGGGAAATGCCCTGGATGACTGTTCATTCAAGAACCCCATGTAGCTGTTATTGTTCACAGACTGGTTTTGTCTGACAGTGAAGACATCATCCTGACCAGGGGGCAACACATCTGCCAGTCCGATACATCTGAGTCAGTGTAAGGTCTGCCGGTAAACCACAGGAAATGGCATTACTCGAATACCTAACTAGATTTAAGGTAATTTAGTCGGACCGTAAAACTTCTTTGTGATTATATATCAATTATTATATATTAACTTTTTCAGATTCAGCCTCATTTTATCTATTTCTTTCCTTCAGCTTTGTCAACATATTATACGTAGAAAGAAAAAATGAAAGAAAGACAAAAGAACAACATAAATAATTGTTAAATAATGATAATATTAATGCAATTACAAAAAATATAATATTGATGAAAATAATATGAATAATAAACACAATAATGTAAATAATAATGATTTTTATAATAAAATATATCTTTTTATTTTAACATGTCTTGGTTACAATTCTGATAAAATGTATCAATATAGTTTATCTATGTAAAATGTATTTACTGTTGATTTATATTTTACCAAAATATTGGAATCGCTAATCGTCCACTATCATTCGGGTCATGTGAAACTGAACATTTTATATGGACTACTTCAAATCAACGTCAAATAAAACGTTGTTTTTTTGTCATTACTGCATGTTGTAATCTCCTGCTGTCAGCCACTGATTAACAGATGGATGGATTAACAGATCCTTTTTAAGCGTCACCGCCAACAACTATCGATCAGCTGAAGACTGTGAAACAGATATCGCATCGCCCTTGTGTTTCCCTGTGTGTGTATGGCACAAACAAAACAATAACAACATGTTTCTACAGTGCCACTATAGTACTAAAAAGGGTATCCTTGACTGTTATTGAGAGACGCATTTATTTTCCATTTGAGTCTTTACAATTCAAAGTAATACGTGTAAAGTCGACTAACAATCGTTAAATGTACACTGTTTGTCTCCCAGATGATTCCTCTGGATTCCTTCGTCGGGCAGAGTGCAGACGGGAAGATGGTGCCCATCATCCCGGGGGGAAACAGCATCCCGCTCTCCTTCTCCAACAGGAAGGAATACGTGGAGAGAGCCATCGAGTACCGGCTGCATGAGATTGACCGACAGGTGTGGGCTGCTTGGGAGTACCACATGTTACCCTTCTGTGTTAAACATCCTTTAGAAACATTTAACCATCTCTTATTACAAGGTGACAAAGTCAATCTCCTCCTGGAGCTCTAGCTAACTTTCCTAAAGGTTTTTAATACAATGGAGGAAAATAGAATCTTGTAATTGATGAAGAAATAATTTATAATGAAATTAGAGAATCCACAATAGCTGTTAATTAAATCTTGGGATGACATACTTTTGTTTTCAAAGTCAAGCATGAACGTTTAACCTCCAAGCTTTTGGTCACACAGACGTTTATCAGAGCAGCGGCTGCACTATAGAAAAAAGGAAAGAGCGTCTTTTTCCACACAACAACAATGTCTATTTCTTTAGGAATTGTTTCTGTAGGTTCATGTAGTCTAATACAAACTGCTCACTGTGAAAGCCAGAGCTGAAACAATTAGTTGAAAGAAAAAAAAGAACCCCAGAAGTTATTTCTTAGTTTCAGCTTGTTTAAGTGAAAAAGTAAATAAAATAAAATAGTTGTGAAATAAAGAAGAAAGTGAGGTAAACTTCTCAGAATTACGAAGTCAGAATTGAAAATGTGTAAAAATGAGTTTTAGGAGGGAAAGAATCCTAGTTTTCTAACGTTTTATAGACCATCGATTAATGTTTAACTGTAGTGAAGAAGGTGAATAATAAAAAGAGATATCTGTGTGTACGGATGATGAACACATCGTAACTCCCCCCCCTTCCCCTCCCTCAGGTGGCGGCGGTGCGTGAGGGCATGTCTTGGATCGTGCCGGTGCCGCTGCTGTCCCTGCTGACGGCCAAGCAGCTGGAGCAGATGGTGTGCGGCATGCCGGAGATCTGCTGCGACGTGCTGAAGAAGGTGGTGCGCTACAGGGAGGTGGACGAGCAGCACGCCCTGGTGCAGTGGTTCTGGCAGACGCTGGAGGAGTTCTCCAACGAGGAGCGCGTCCTCTTCATGCGCTTCGTCTCCGGGCGCTCGAGGCTGCCCGCCAACACGGCCGACATCTCCCAGAGGTTTCAGATCATGAAGGTGGACCGGGTGGGTGACGCAGACTCCACTGTGTGCTACATGTTGTCCGAATACGTCCATTTACTAAGGATTTAAGGTCTTTTACAGGCATGTTAGACGGTCAAATTGCTGTGAGGTTGTTAATAGCATTCATTTCAATGTTTCCCTATGGGACACGCCTCCATTTGTTTTCCTCTAAAGCGTTTTTGGAGGTAAAACGTTTTATTCTATCAAATAAACGTATAATAGGTGTTTTTTTTCAACTTTGGACGAGTACAGGGTCGGACTGGCCATCTGTTTGTTGTGGAGAAAAACAACCACAGTAGTCCAGAGCTTTAATTTCCTCCAATGAAGTTGCACAATGACAGGTTACAGAAGGTGACAGCGCTCATAAATCATGTAGTTACTCGCCAAGTAAAGATATTTAGAATAATATTTTGAGTCCAGATCAAGGCATTGTGACACTGCTGGTGCGGGCTTTTGCATTTCCATGGCATCAATTATTGTGGGCAGGGCTGGCTCAGAGTCTGCGGCTATGTACTAACAGACATGAGAGGAAGTGTTATGTCTCCTCTGTTGCTGAACTCTGTTAAATATGGCGAAGTCAGCAGAAAACAGTGCCATGGCCAACAATTATGGCTTTCTTTACGTTTTCTGCACCAAAAGGGAGTATACCAGTACAGTTTAGACATGCTCTATAGTAAAAGTGCCTTGAGAAAAATTGTAATATGATGTGGCGCTATATCAATGACTTCAATTGAATAGATAAACCTTTATTGATCCTCAGAGGGGATCTTTGGTTGTTTTAGCCGAACCAAGACTGAAATAAATGCAGAGAAAACTAAATAATAGGAACTATTTCAAACTGAAATAGTGGATAGAATAAGCAAAGAGCATTATGGAGACAAGAATTGTACGATTTTTAACAGCTTCTTCATTTCCCCCCCTCAGCCGTACGACAGCCTGCCCACCTCTCAGACCTGCTTCTTCCAGCTCCGCCTGCCTCCCTACTCCAGCCAGGCCGTCATGGCGGAGCGGCTGCGCTACGCCATCAACAACTGCCGCTCCATCGACATGGACAACTACATGCTCTCCAGAAACGTGGACAACGCAGAGGGCTCCGACACGGACTACTGACGCAGGCAGCCCCACACGTGAACACATGAATGATCACCTGCACACGGACTGTCTTATCGAACACGCACACACAGAGCGAGATGCTTCATCATCGCTGCACCAGTTGTAGGGAACTCCTGAGCAGACACTTTTTAAATCCATTTTATGTACTTTCAAACAGCACAGGTTTTCCTTTCTCCTTGCGGTTTATTAGCAGTTTTTAAATGACACAAGAATCCACACGAGAAGTGTATTTAGTGTTTGTTTTTTGCGCATTACTCCACATCCCATTTTCAGGGTTTCTGCATGGAGGTTGTTTATTTGTTTGGATGTGTATAGAATATTCAAAAAAAAAGCACGAGGAGGAAAGGAAGAATATTGTACATTGTGTAAAATGCTTCATTATGGAAATGTTTTGCATAATATCCATATTTATTGTTTTCATTGCCTATGCCGAGTTTCCCAAAGCATACAAAAAAACAACAATAAATGCTGCATAACTGAATTGTAGTTGGGTTTAATTTTAAATGTTTGTAGAAAAAAGACAAACATTTCCAGAAGACATCACATTTATTTCAGAAGTAAACATGACAAAGGCCATCTTTAATGGGAAGTAACTATAATATGAAAAAGAAAAAAAAACAGATGTACATTAAAGGAAAAATTACACGACTATTCAGTGTGTTCAAAATAAGTGTCCATGTTGGCAAGGGGAGACGTTTGGATATGAATTTTCTCTCAATCTCATGTACTTTGACAGTGTTTTGGTTTCTGTCATAAAAAATATAATTCGCAGTGAAAGCAGCTTCTGACAGGAGGCGTTCAGGGACTACTGAGTGTGGGTCACCTGCATTTTGGAAGCCCTCGGTCACAAGATCACTGTTAATATGTAAAAAGTAGGAAAATGGAGGGAACTTTGGGAAGGGAAACCCCCCAAAAATCACGTTATGGCCTGAGGGATCCACTAATCAATTTCCCACGCGTAATCATCCATGAAGCCATCTCTTAGTTACTCTGCCGAGACCTCATTATGCTCCAGCTTCATGAGTCTGAGTTCAACCAAAGTGGGAATCTTCCACCTTGGCTGTTTAGTTTTAGTACAATATTCAGTTTCCTATACCTTTCACAGCTTGTATGGAGTGCAGATAAAGATTACAGCAACTGATAAACCTCTCAAAGTACATGTGAGGATTGTATTGGGACTAACTGGAACAAATCTTTGAAATGGTGGCAGGAGATGTTTCTACATTTCCTCTGGGTTCCCCGTGATCGTTCTGTTTCCCAACAGTGTTGAAATGTTTCAACTCACATGTGAGGCGTGAAAGACAAGAACTGACCAACAAATCCAGGTTTGGGGTATACAAAACCTTTTTAAATCCCTCTGGAAAAACTGTAGACCTCAAGCTAATTATAGTGAAAGACTCGCTTTGGATATATTTCACTGTGTAATGGTAAACCTCAGTATAGGAAAGAACTACACCCTAAGATTTCTTGAATGTACGCTGCTTTACTCTGCAGCTTGTGTAAAACTTCAAAGGTTTCAGATCACTGACAGTTCTGTTGTGCTGACACGGTCAAACTGTGTGCTGTCTCAGCATGAGGTAGAGGAACCATTGGAAACCCAAAAGAAGTGTGTGTTTCAATCAGAAGTCTCCAGGTGTAATGAGCTTCCGCCCATATTTCCAACCCCAGAGTTACCATTCCTCTTTGTTCACTCCTCTTGTGTTGAGGTGATTCATCTCAGTAACATTGTTTTAACATTTGAACTCATTAGAAGATGAAATCCATCCAACTCAAATATCAGTGAAACTCAAAATGAAGGTCCAATGTTCTCACACGGACTTTTGAAAAAGTCCTTCAAGTCAAGCGAGGCCCGTTTTCTCTTCATCACATTCTGACTCTGAAGAACTTGAAGTCCGAGGCAACTGCATTTCCACTGTTTAAAAAATATATAGAAGACTTTGAAACATGCTTTTTTTAAGGCCTTGTAGTGTCTCATGTGGGAGCCCAGATCTGACCCCGGATCAGCCTCTGGTTCTCGGCGTCACCTCTCAGGACCCCGAGCCCCCGTCCTCCGCCCTCCGGGGTGTGATGATGCTGTCCTTGGCCTGCAAGAGTCTCACCAGACAGGGCGTGGTGAACTTGGCGGGCAGCGCCCCCCCCCGGCTGAGGTGACTGGGGGGGGCCGAGAGCGAGTCGGTGGAGGAGGAGACGGCGCTGTCCTGGGTCGCCCCCTGGCTGCAGCACGCAGGTGGAGGGGGGGCGGAGGCCGGGGGGGGCTGGCTGAGGGTGGATTCAAGAGTCTTCAGGGAGCAGATGGGTGACATGTGGAGCCGTTTGAGGCGGGTGGAGGAGTCTGAGGAGCAGAACGACACCGGCGAGGGTGGAGGGGGCGGGGCGCTGCTCTGATGCTGCTGGAGAGGAAACATCAGTGTCACAATAATGTCTACCATCAACACATCTCCATAATTATTAAAAGTCCGTTAAGCTCAATTTAATTACTTTTAATAAATAAATTAAGAACTGTTCCTTCAGCTCAATTAAATAAATATCATACAATTAATAAAAAATAGTTCCTTCAACACAATTCATATATTTTTTTAACTCATTTAAAAAGTCAGTTTAACTCAGTTAAATAACTTATTAAATTAATTTAAAAGAAATGAATAGATATTATAAAATGTATTAAAAATTGTTGGTTTAACTCAATTCAATAAATATTAACTATTGATAAACTATACACTCAAATATGTTCCACCAAACTTTCAGTCTGGTTTGTATTCTGTGAACCCTTCTGCAGTTCAGATGGTTTTGCTGGTTTTTAAATGTAGAGGATCACATTCTTGAGTGAGGGGCCGCTCTGGTTTTCCCCTCATTATCTGACCCCTAGCCTTCTTAAGAAACGATTAAATCATCGCCAGTAAAAATAAATGTAGACCCCGGCTTCCAGGATTCTGTTACATAATCAGACTCTTCTCACCACCAGAGCCGCGAAACAGACCGACCGGGAGATGAACTTCACCGTTAACGATGATTATTTATTATAATGACTTCAGATTGAGATACTTGTTAGTGTTATATCCTCAATTCATCTAATTTAACATGAGCAACATTTTCAATGCTCAGATATTTCTTTTACTGTCATAGACAATCTTAACATTTGAAAAGCTGGGATTTTTTGCTTAACTCCCTCAAAAGGAAATCGATAATCAGAATAAACTTGGTAACCATGGTTGAATAATAATTACTTGTTTACCTTTCGCTTCTTAGCCGGAGTGCAGGGCTCTGTGTGCGTCAGGTCTGGTCTGATGTGAGGAAACCAACTGTGCAGCATCTCTGCTATCTTCAGTACAATGCTGAGGAAGCGTCCTCTGGAGGGGAGACAGAAAACACAGGTTGGTTTCCACCATTTTCACATCTTCACAGGTTTAACATTGATGTACAGGTGGAGGTTACACGCCAAGAGATGCTGCAATGTGCCACAAAGACAGAAGACTCACTGCAAACTAGTAAACACAGATCTAAAACACTTAAAGTGGTGTTGCATCTTAAATCATTCAACATATTATTGGAGTTAAACAAATGCAGGAGATTACTTTTGTTTGTTTAAGAGGACATACCACAATGTAAAAAATACTTTGTTACGTAACGGCTTTTAAAAAATATGTTGGACACAAATAGTCTGCTTCAATCCGTTGTTGTCATTTAGCCCTTCAAAAACGACATTTAATATCTATGTTACAAGCTGATGAGTTATATGCTGATTTCATAAAATGTTTTGATTGGATACAATTTTGTAATCTTGTTTATGGTGATGACATCATAACATAATACGACAGACATTCAAAGCTTCACTCAAAAACCTAGCTACAATTGACCTTTCACAAAGCCACGCCCCTAAATGCCCGTTGTCCAATCATATTCGATCACGTGCGCGGCTCCCTGTGGAAGTCCGACAAGCTTAGCGTTCAAATTCATTGCGAAAATGGTGAAGCGTTGTGCTTATGGTCTTTGGAAATCGGATAGCAGATATCCCATAAGCTTAGAGGGGAGGGAAGGATGATATTTTACCCGTTTCCTAAACCCAAAACCCAAAACCCGAGAGGAGAGATGCCGCCAGTGGATAAAGAAATGCGGCAGGCCCCATGCCCAGCTGAATATGGCGAATATCAACAAACACAAATACTTTTGCTCCAAGGTAAATACGTGCTAACGTAGCTAGCTAGCTAGCAAAGATTACATTCACAAATTAACTAACTAATTTAATTAACTAATTTCACTAACTAACGTTAGCTAAAGTCACACGACTACAGCTGTAAACTGTGTGCTTCTAGGTCGTTTTGACCATGTATATCACTTGATGCCAGGGGTGGACTGGCCATCTGGCATACCGGGCATCGTCCCGGTGCGCCGTTGACCCAATGTGGGCCGGTCCGCAATGTTTTTTTTTTCTTTTCGTTTTTTCCCCTCTAAATTCCCTCCAATTGGGCCGGCCAATTGGCTACAGAGGGCTAGCAGTGTGTTGCCAGCATCGACACATATTATTGGTCTATTGTTTGTCATTGTCAATGAATCATGGGCTGATAAGCTCAGAGAGCCCTGACAGTGCTGTCAATCACAACACAAACCAGGGTGGGGCGGGACCTCATGGCATGGGTGGGAGTCGCGGGACGGGCTGCCTGCTGCTGAGCTGAAAATGGATAAGCAGAAGAAACGCCCGGGTGGCGCTGAAAAACTGCGACTTAAAAAGCTGAAGTCTCTGGAGGTGGAGGCTGCTAAATATTCTAAATTGACGGACCTATTTGGTGCCGTGGTCACCGCCTGAAGGATTATTTGAATTATTAAAGTAACGGGTTATGGCAGGAAAGTTAAATCTGGTATATTCATTTTAATGTCACCTTATATATATTCATGTGTGTTAAATTTGAAGGGACAAAGTATATTTTCCCTCCCCAATATATTGAGGTGAAGTCTTTGTGTTTAGAGAAGGATGGGAGCAGGGGACATCCTAANTGATGTCGGGCTGTTACCTCTTAATTAAGATGAATCATTAAATGTTGTGAGGAAATCTTTTTCCACCAATAATTCCAATAAGTAATCCAAAAGTGTATTCACTTCAGGTTTACGAAGTAACGTATCAGATTACTCGTTTTTCAAATGTAACGCGAGCTGAAATACAGTTTACTTGATTTTTGTGAATTCTGGATTACGTAACGCCGTTTACATGTATTCGCGTTACAACCCAACCCTGATACTAACATATCAAGGTATACTTAGTGTGGGTTGCTCCATGGTTTACTAGCATATAACATTAACGTTACATCACTCTTTTTCACTTCTTACTCAGTCAGCAGAGTGCAGAATATCACCATTAGATTCACAAACCTGAAACATCATCCATTTCTTCACTGCGGTGATGACATTCTTGTCAGCTGCTTGATACTGCTGCTGCTGCTGCTGCAGCTTGTGGCGCCTGCTTTTGATGAAAATAACTTTCTAATATCCATAACTTTATAGGCTATTACTAAAACTCGTTCAGGGCACTAGGAGGATCATTTCTTCTTCAGGCAGGGAAGGCTACGCGGTACGGCAGGCTACTGTCCCGCAGCGGCTGCCTCTCTGGTGGACTCCGGTACTGCACGTTACTCCCGAGACGTTTTCAAAAAAATTAAAATAATAATATTTAATTCTTTTTTTTTTAAAGTGAAACATCCGGGGCTTTTCAGAAAACATCCGGGGCTTGAGCCCAAGTAGCCACCCCCTAGCGTCGCCACTGTTTGTAATACTGATGAATTTGAATAATGTATTCTAATGATACGTTCACACCCGAATACACAGAGACGTGAATTTGAGCCTGTGTCACAACTGACGCGATTGATGCGGCAAGAATGACGCGACTCGTCTCTTCGCGAGAGTTACATTTTTTCAACTCAACATCAAATTTGTTAACACGTTCTGCCATCTTGTTTGCACAGTTGTCAAAGCATTAATTCATAGTTTGTACAAACCGGTAACAGTATGTTGTTATTTTGGCATAATTTGCAAACGTGTATTTGTTGTAGTTGGTATCCACCATAGTATCAACATGGAGATAAGCCCCGCCTCCTTTGCATGACGTGAGTAAACACAACTGACAGCCTTGGTGAAGTCACATGGTTAACGCAATGCGAACGCACCATAAGAGAAAAAGACGTGTTGTATCACTGTGCCTTTAGCGAAGGTGACAAAGTTACAGCGGTTCCCAGTGGCTGTGATAAAAACGAAATATTGTGAAGCTATACCCCTGTCCTATGGCTGCATTAAGTCGACCTGATTATTGGATTCACAGTTTCAGAAGTCAGCTAAATGTTTTTAAAGTAAGTGTGTTTGGTTATGTGTGGCTCCAAAAAAAAATCTTATTAAATATAACCTCCATCCCCCATGGCTATACATATTTATAGTTAGCAATTGGTTCTACTGCCACTAACTGAAGGCGTCTCCAGAGCTGCCAACAGCTCGACTCCTGGTGAAGTAGACCCCCAGCAGTGAGGCAGAGGGATCGTGGAGTCCACAGCTAGCTAACTCTGTGGTTAGAGGAGGTAAAAAAGGGGGTGACCAAATCAAGTACGTTTTGATTTTGTCCCTTTCAACAAACTACAGTTAACAAGAAATACCTACGGATCCGAGGATTCTTCTTGAGAAGGTGCAGCTGCACAGTATAATTGCAGCACTGTGGCATACTCCGGCAGCAGGAAATACCAAGTAGCTGTTTCAGAACCGACAGACCAGTCATGGACAGCTCTTCTGAGTTTTTGCCCTGAAAGTTGCTTCGTAACCTTCACCCAAAGAAAGCAAAAAAAAAAGAAGAAAAAGTAAAGAAAATTAGTAATATACAGGTGAGATTATGATTTATTTTAATGGCCTACACTAACAGGGATGTGATGGATGGACATTTAGTTAAATGTTCTAGCTATGTGCCTACTGTCAACACAAATGAACACAATAAGTAAACCAACACATGCCTGACCTCCCTTCAGATCAATTGGCTACGCCATTCAATATCCTCGACGAGTCGCTCTTGCTAAGTTATTCCCTGTATGTGTCAGACCACGATGCAATGTTCAAGTTCCCATTTGTCTTTGCTAAACTTGATACTACTTTTGTTAGGGTACAACCGTTTACTTTGCATTCTACTTGGGATTTGGTTACAAAATTACTTTAATGACATTTCCTTCCTCAGGTTGACGCTCACGGCAACATCCTCCTGACCAACCTGACTAGTGAGATGAGTGGAGCAGATATGATGGGTGTTCTCAATGACCCTCGGGCTACGATGTTCTCCTACGACAGCGCCAGCATACAGTACCGCAAGCCCATGACCAGCCGAGACCTGTACGGACGACCGGCCCTCGACCGGCCAATGGGCCACAAGAAGGGGCGCTTGCGGAGGAGGGCCTCGCAGCTGAAAGTCAAGATCCCCGACCTGACGGATGTCAACGCCATAGACAAGTGGTCTCGCGTGGTTTTCCCGATTGCGTTCACCTTCTTCAACCTGGTCTACTGGTTTTACTACGTCAATTAGGGTGGCAGTAGAGAAAGTTAACCGGGGCTTGTACAGCGATGAAAACGATGGAGCATTTGTATAAATTGTGTTTTGGAATGAGATGTAGAACTGGATGTCTTTACAATGTAAATACAATTTAATATATAATATATAAATATATATATAACAGAGGTATAATTTATAAAAAATCCTTTCACTTTTCCTGTACTCATCTGTACAAAATAGATGGATGAAAATAATGGAATTTAAGACACAGTAAAGACATAGTATCTCTAAGCAAAAACTTGCCAAAAAGACTTTTGAAATTTCCGGCAATGATCTTTCATTTGTTCTATCTCATTTACTTACCTTCTGTTATCTCACTTTTTGCATGTGAATGAAACACAACCTTTTTGTTTGCTTAAGGTAAAAAAAAAACAAGAGACAAAGAAGCCCAGCGCAAAACAAGCAGGTGACTTGTAACTGAAGCTCACCTAACTTATTAAGAGAAGACATGTTGTTGATTCCCATCGTAATATATAGTCCTTATTTGGTGCTCAGACAGTGCTCCGACTAAGGTTTTTTTGTAGACTTGCGTTGAAATCCTTCTCTGACAGTCATATGCAAGCTATAAAACATGTCAAATTGCTTTTTATGATGCGGGGTTATTTCTGACAAGTTTCTTTTCTTTAAAAAAGGAAGCTTTGCATGGCTCTACTGAGCCAATCTGTATTATAATCATTATACTGTATGCTTGCGAAACAATCATTGCATTTAAGGTAAGTACAGGACAGAGGTTAATTGGAACTCCAGTCATTTCTCAAAAACAAAATGTATCTACGAT